CGGGAGCCGCCACATGGATGCTGGGTGACTGCCCTCCGATCCAGTACAGGTTCCCGCTCAGCCAGTCCAGGGCCAGGGATGTCACTGTGCCCTTCGCGGCCACTGCCTTCTTCCAGGACAGCCGTCCCCAGTCCTTCAGGCGCAGCAGCCCTATAGAGTCACCCCCCACCTCTGCAAAGTACAGGCTCTTGTCTTTCACTGCGTAGTCGATGGCTGTCAGGCGGCCCACCTTGGCTAAGGGCAGAGTCCGGAGTGCAGGAAGGCCTTGGGATCCAGCTGTTCTGGGCAGGTCTTTCAGGTAGACCTGGAGGGAGAATGCAGTAGCAGAATAGGGACTCTGCTCCCCTGATAGAGGTGAGGATGGCAGACCACAGGGCTGGCTCTGGAGGATGGTACCTGAGCCACAGCTGCCGGTGACACCAGGAGGGCAAAGGCCGAATCACGGAGGGGCAGGCAGGTGGTCTCATCAGCAGCCAGCGTCATCCCAGCAGGGCACCGGCACTGACTGGAATGCCTGGCGCTCAGCAGGCAGAGGGGGGAGGAGCCACGTGCTGCGTCCAACAACCAGCCATCGTCATCCCATCAGGGCACCGGCACTGACTGGAAGGCCTGGTGCTCAGCAGGCAGAGGTGGGAGCAGCCACGTGCTGCGCAGGGGCTTGGAGCCACGGGACGCAGGGCTGGGTGCATCACCTGCAGGAAGGGAATGGCAGGCTCAGTCTCACAGCTCACCCAGCTCCCAGAAGCAGAGCTGAACATGGCCATGCTCCCACAGCCTGGACACGGCCCTGCTGGGGTCAGGATGGTGAGAAAGAGCTGCTCAAAGAGGACTAGAGACCCACGACAATAGGGACCACTGTCCAAGGACCAGTGGGATGGGAGACCAGCAGAGCCATGCAGGGTGGGAGCCCCAAAGAAAATGGTGCAGCAGTGTTCAGGAATCCCCTGGGAAGGTACCTGGAGGCCATGGGGCTGCCCATGTCGCTTGAGCAGCACAGTCCTGTTCTTGCCGCTGGTCTTGTCCAACTTCTGCACTGACCATGCCTTCCTCTCTGACCAGTAAAGCTGGCCCTCGCACACAGCTGCCGCAAAGGGGCTCTGGACCCAGCCCAGCCGCAGGACCTGGTAGAGAGACTGTGAATGCCCACCCTGGCCCCCTTGTCAAAGCCTCATCACCAGATCCCCACCACACACCTTCACACTGGTGCCATCCAGATGTGCAGAACCAACACTGCCCAGCTTCTCATCCAGCCAGAAGATCCTCCAGGTGGGGAGGTCAAGGGCCAGTGCCGTGGGCCAGCCCAGTCCGTGGGCCAGCAGCTCGTGCCGCCGACTCCCATCCATGGTGGCTTCCATCAGCCGTGGATGCTTCCCTACCTCTGACCAGTACAGTAGCCTGGCGGGAAGATGGGTGCTAATTCAAAGACCTGCCACAGCATTGCCCCAGTACCAGGGGAGTCCAAAAGAGCAGCATGGAGCTTCACATCCCATCAGGGATGCACTGAGTCCTCCCAGGGGAGGGGCAGGTGTCTAGGCTCCTTCTTGCCCAGTCCATAGCCCCGACAGCACACAGGTTAGGCCATCTCAACTCTCTCCCAGCTTGTTGCCTGCCTCCATGGAGGAAAATGGAGCAGTGCAGGGATGGCGAGGAGGTTCCCGTGTCCTCTTGTCTTAGCCTTCCCCTGCCAGAGGCTGGAGCACCAGGGAGTGGGGCTGGTCTAGGTCTCCATCCATCACCACAGTGTACTCTGGTGTCCCTCGCCAGGCAGCCCCCAGGCGAGTGGCCAGCACCTGCCCTGCTGCCCCATCAGTCCAGTACAGGTTCCTCCCGAGCCAGTCCACTGCTATACAGTCCGACTTCACACCTGCAACGCACCCAAGAGTCAGCACTCCTGTGGTGACAGCTGCGTGGCCCTCTGGCACAATGTTCCCAGCCCAGCTCACCTTCATCCCAGGAGCCCCAGCTCCTCCCAACTCTGCTCCCACCACACCTTTCCATGCAAGGGGACACAGCCCAGCAATGCACTGCAACCTGGATATTGCATAGCCGTGGAGAAGCCAGCTCTGCTAACCCCACACTGTCACAGCCCACCTTTCACCAGTGTGCCTTTCTTGCCCAAGTTGAGGTCCTGCCAGCGGATGCTCTCTGTGGCCAGGTCCATCCAGAAGACTTTTCTCTCCACCAAGTCATAGTCAAGTGAGAAGACAACACGATCCTTGTCAGCGGCCAGCAGCACCTCCTCACGCCCACTCCGCAGGCCATAGGACAACACCTCTGACTGCATGGCCACCAGCAAGATGGGCTCTGGTCCTGGGGTAACACAGAGCCACCCACACCCAGCTCAGTGCTGGTGAACCCATGGCCCCAGCACACACAGACAGGGAACGCAGCACTGGCAGGCCTTGGAGCCTACTAGGACTCAGTCCTACCACAAAGCATGTTCCCCTCCTAGGGAAAATGGATATTCTGACCAGCCACGGGCTGGCAAGCGGGGCCTGGGAGGCCACATGACAGAGAGGACAGGGTAATTTATGGAACTATAGGGCTGCCTGTGCACAGCAGGCTCAGGGGGACAGCACCCACCAGCTCCTGGTGTAGCCTAGGGTGCCAGGGACCTTCAGCACTGCTTGGCCATCCCAGAGCTTACCGGTGAGTTTGCAGATGTGGCCATCAGGCTCCAGCAGGTAGCCAGGCAGACAGCCACAGCTGTAGGACCCTGGGGCATTAAGGCAGGTCTGGCTGCAGGCTCCCTCACTCCTGTCTGTGCACTCATCTATATCGATGCAGGACACACCATCCTCAGCCAGCTGATAGCCCTGGTCACACCAGCACCGCTGTGGGGAAAGGAGCTGTCAGGGTCTTGGGGACACATGAGGGTCCCTCCTGCAGCTGGACCAGGGCAGCACGGCAGGGTAAAGCCCCTCCACCAGGGCTGCTAGCACTCACAGGGCCCTGGGGCGAGGGATAGCAGAGGTGAGCGCAGGACTGCTGGCAGGATACAGAGCAGTTCCCTGCTTCATCCGAACCATCTGTGCAGTCCTGCCGGCCGTCACACAGCAGGGATGCATTGAGGCAGCCTCCCAGCCCGCATGAGTACTCATGACTCTGGCAGGGGGAAGGCTGACCTACAGGGACATGAGAAGGCTGCCTTGAGCCTTGTCCACCAGCTCTTTTTGCTCAGCTGGGACACATTCAGCTTGCCCCAAGGCTCACTGCAGCCACAGCCAGAGCTGTGCCTAGGCTTCAGAGCATCCTA